CAGCAGGCCGGGGGGGGAGGGAGCCGCTCCGGGGAGGCAGCTGCAAGCGAGGCGCTACCGGTTCTCCCCCTCGGCGCTGCAGGACCAAAAGGCTCTCTCGCCTAAAGAGGCGGGGGCTGCGGCCGGAGAGAGGCCGGCGGGGCGAAGTCAAGCGCCCGCCGGCTGCCAGGGTTAGTCTGCAGCCGTCCAGGGAGCCGGCGCTTCGGGCCCCTTGAGAGCTGGAGCGAAGCCCTGAGGGAAAGAAAGCTCCTTTGGCCCTGGGCTGGCCTGCAAAGGCTCCGCGGGCGATGGAGAACCTCAGAAGAAGAGCCCGGCTGGATCCGGCCAAGGGCCCCTCGAGTCCGGCTCCCTGACTCTCACGGAGGCCCCGCCAGATGCCTCCGGGAGGCCTCGAGAGACCTGCCGCCTGATCCTCCTCCCCTGCATCCGAAAGGGAAGACGGGCCTCCCCCCCCCCCCCGGCTTGGTGGCCGAGGCAGAGGGTCAGCTTTTCCCAGTCCTGACCTAAAACTGTAGCATTTCTTCATTTAAATCTTTGGGGATTAGGTTTCCAAGTTGCCAACCTCAGAATACCTTCTCCACGAAGAGAAGTTTTATGTCTAGACTTCGCAATGTCTTCTACATCGCAAAAGGCCAGTTCATAAGCAGACGGTTGCTACTGTACATGATATTGCCCCTGGTCCTTTATATTTCTACACAATGTACCAATCATCTGTTCTGTGGGGAAGAGATGTGCCACACATGATACTCCATTGAAAAACATAGAGGACTGTCAATTTTAGTGTCCACTGTGCACATGAAAGATTAACATTTTTGGCACATTTGCAATAAAAATGAAACATGTCCGTGATGTCTTTTTCTAGAAGATGAGCTGGACTGCTTTCGATCAGCTTCCAAGCCGGATCAGTCCTTCAGCTTTCTCGAGAATTCTACTCTGAATCTAGGGCATCCTCGCACCTGGTCCTCTGCAGCTTGTCGGCAGCCCCTCACCCACCCAAATAAGACTGCTGTTGTTGGACTTTGGCCCTTGACCTTTTACCAAACAAGTTGGGGTATAAGGCTCATGTTTGGGACAGCATTGTGATTACTTACAGATAACCTTTTCTATGTAAACCTAGTTTTGTAACAAAGCTGACTTGTGTCTGCATAAACAGATAAAGGAGCTGTGTCTCCCTGTCTTCAAAATTGGGCTCTGTGACAAGACATTGTAAGAATTTTGGGTAAAAGCTCCTATAACACAAATAACATTTCCAATTTGTTTCCATTTATGCAGATTTTTAAAATCTAAGTTTTTTAAAAGATTGAAGTTACCTGTGTAAGTTGCATTATCATTATCATGGCAATGATGATGATATACTGTAGATATACTGTAATTAGTATCTCCAACATGCAAGGACTTTAGATCTTTGTAGCACTAATTTCAAGATACAGATTCTAAATACCTTTCAGCTTTGAGTTATGATTTATGCCTCTAAGACAGCCAGTTGTAGTATTTGAGCACAACCCATGAGAGTTCTAGAGAAAAGAGGGAGATCTTCATATGGGTAAATTCCACAGTTAAACTTTAACCAAACAAGACTTTTTGGTTGTTTATAATATATTGTCAGATGCATTTATTGTCATGAAATGAGTGCCTATGGGGAAGCTTTTCCTTCTTTTACAAGATCAGAAAGGCTAGGAGGAAAAAGTTAATAGACAACTACCAGATGCTCTAGTCTTGAGCTGCCAGGACAGTTTTTGGAGTTTCTGTTGCTTGCCATTCATTCTTGGAGTGTGCTGTTTTGGGGAGCTTCGGTACATAGTCTATTTTTTTTTTTACAAATGTTCTAAAACATCTCTACAATCGTTTGTATAAAGACGTTTGTTCATCCAGTGGCTATTTATGCCTGTATAAGGAAAATCCCCTTCACTGATTGCTGACTTGTCGTGGCAAAAGGGCTTGAGTAATTCAGAGAAGCTATGATGGGCTATGCCATGCAGGGACACTCAAGATGGACAGGTCATAGTGGAGAGTTCTGACTAAATGCAATCCACGTGGAGCAGGAACTGGCAATGCCACTCCAGTATCTTTGCCAAGAAAGCCCCATGACCAGAAACAAAAGGCTAAAAGATATGATGCTGGAAGATGGGACCCTCAGGTCGGAAGGCATCCCACATGCCACTGAGGAAGAGCGGAGGACAAGTACACGTAGCTCCAGAGCTAATGAAGTGGTTGGG